TGAAAACCTTGAATGAAAGGACGGAAGAAAGAAAAGGAGAGAGGATGCAAGTAAAAAAGAAAGCAAAGAAGGAAAAAAAAAAAAAAAAAAAAAAAAAAAAAAAAAAAAAAAAAAAAGGGGGCAAATCCTTGAGTAGTTATGAAATTTATATAGTTTTTTAACTGTAGCAAGGTGGAAGCAAGGTGCGCGGTGTGTGTGTGGGGGGAAAGGGGGGTGGTCTCTACCTGACGTCTCCTGGCAGGGAGAACCATCATCTAGCTAACTGATGTAAGTTTCTAACTATTTTTATTTTTTYAATGCACTCTGAGCGTCAAACTTTGAGATTGCAAACTGTACATGAGCCGAAGCAATGAATACGATGGATTATGATGCGATCTTTGTTTTTGTCATTYGGGTTCGGTTCATGTAAAGTTCAACGTTTGTAATCGGCCTAATAAGACTGCTAAGAGGTAAATAGGATTACTGTTAATTGCCATCAGATCCAAAGTCTATACGACGCCTCACCTTGGGATCATTTTTTYCGCACATGATTTGATTCTATATCTTTTCATAAATCTTGAAATWAAAAAAATTCAAGAAACACTTAATTAATCCACTTGAATATGGACTCAGCATTTTCTGCTTATACAGCAATGTTTTCTGAAAAATAACTGAAAGGAAGAAGGGAAGACCTGAAAGAAAGAAGGAAAGGAAGGAAAGAATGGAGGGACGATTAAATAGAATAAACAAATAGTATTTGTTTTTAAAAAATCCAATTGTTTTTTACATACCTAAACCGACTTTTTTCMGATTAGCCTGTCAACGTCGACATTTACATGTTCTGCCCATCATCCTGGACTTGTTGTGGTTACTGTGCTATTCTTAACTGAGCCCCGTCAACACCTCATCACTTTGTAAGCACTGACCATGAACGTCATACTATAAGCCTTTGGCGCTCAGTAAATATCCTGGTTTAACATTTCGGAACCAGGTGAATTGAGACTATTATTAGTATTATCGCGCTTAGCTCACAATGTATTAAAGTCAGAATGGGGATCATTTTCAAGGACAATGAAGCGATGGCAACAGAAAAAGGTATGAATTGGAAGTAACCTTAATTTGTTTTAGATCTTGCCAGCATGGATGCTTTGGCTTCTGGTTTACAGAGCAACGCTTGCTCGTCGAATTTCTTTGTTCGTATATTTTTACTGAATGTTGTCTAGAACACGGGTCAGACTAGAGAATTCGAATCGACCTCAGTGCTTTAAACGTGCCAATCTTTTCAATTCTTTAGCGTGTAATGTGATTCACAAAGAAGTCCTTAGTATTAAATTATCGAAACAAATCAGCGTGAATTCGAACGTACATTTGATGTGATTGAAATTGAAATACCCCATGAGAATTGCAATTGAACAAAAATTAAAGATAGGATCATTTGACAATTTTATTACGAAGAAGTCTATATCGGGGTCGGTTTCAATATCTTCATYGTTGACAAACGATGAGACATTTCAAAGATTCTCAGGAATTTACAAAGCACAGGCAAATACGCGATGCATCAAAGTATCAACACAATGGTGTATATTTGCTCTATCTTTAAATGAAATTCAAGCAGGATTTGAAAGTTTTAATTTGACTGCAAATCTCTGCAAGGTAATCCAGTACTACTTCTAACTAGCACAATTCTATAGGGTGGTACCATCTTATTGAAAATAWGGCCGCGAAGGACGTTCATTTTTACTCTACATGTACATAACTCATTTTACTGACATCATCTAAGCGGACTTATAGATGCATTTTACAATGCTTCGCTTTTGTAGTGAATTAATACAAAATAAAAAAGTGGCTTATTAATTTCGATGACATTTTCATTTCATGTGTTGAGTGAAGTTTGATTGAGCAAATCCACAATGATTGATGGGAAAGATTGTAAGTTGATCAGAGTCAACGCACGGGGTCGCAGAAGGTCAGGATCATTCTTTACTCGCATCAATGTGACGGCGGTTCCTCGCTGCAGCCTCAGTTACGAGTTGTGGGGGGGCTATTTTAAATAGCCCAAACGTACAGACCGATCTTCTGCGTGAAAAACACTTGTTCTTGTCAAAATTATTGCAAATTTACGTGGCTATAAAGACTTCTAAGTGTCGTATTTGCAAACGATTACCTTTCTCGCTCACCAAACGCAACAAGATGCGACGCCACACGATAAGCGATCATCAGATTCTCTACTCATTTTTCCAGATAATCATAATAAGGATCAATGGATCAAAAAACTTTCAAAAGAAGACCTTACCTTCACTTGTCTACTCATAAATCCAGATAATCATAATAAGGATCAATGGATCAAAAAACTTTTATCAAAACAATTTAAGAAAGCTCGTTAAGGATATCCTAATTTCTAATGCTTTTATTTGTCGTGCGGCATCGCGATTGTTCTCTGCTATCGGAGCCAAACCTTTAATTTCCATATCCTTAGTGGAATAGAGCTACAAAGTCCATTCCATATCCTTATCTTTAGACAGGAATGAGTGTTTGACCCAACATTTGACCCAACATTTAGCCAACATTTGGCCCACATTTGACCCAACATCCAACTAACATTCGACCCAACATTTAGCCTACATTTGACCCAATATTTGATCCAACATTTGACCCAACATTTGACCCTCATCTCTTTTTTTCAGAAAAGGAATACTTGCCGCAAATCAAAGATTCATTCGAATGTACTGTTGAGATAAGGAAAGACAATTCTGGTCTGGGATTACAGATTGTCGGTGGCTCTGATACATACCTGGTAGGATGAAACGATATAAATGACAGTCGTAGTGTAGGGCAGCAACTTTCAACCTCTTCCGCGCCATCTCCACTCTCCTCTCCCTCTTAGTTCGAAACCTGTCTGTGTGTTTGTGTGTCTGTGTGTCTGTCTGCCATCAAAATTATATCTAAAAATTTCAAAGCAAAATTAATGTTCCCATTAACGCGAAAATGGACTGTCCCTGTCTGTTTGTCTGTCTGTCTGTCTGCCTGACTGTTTGTCTGTCTGTCATTAATTAAATATTGAGAATTTTAAAGGATAATGAATGTACCTATTTTAATCAAAATGAGAAAATATTGTACGGCACATCTTTGCTCTTTAGATGAACTTTCTGTTATTCAGTAATGCAACATGATCTAAATATTTGTTTTTCTTCTTAATTGACCACGTTGTGCATCCACGATCCAGACAGGAATAGTCATCAAGAACATTGATCCTAATGGTGCAGTAGCAAAAGACAAGCGGCTCAAAGTGGGCGACCAAATTCTCGAAGTAAGTAGAACACATAATTATATTCGTAATTTCTCTAGAACCTCCCGACATAACCTATAAAATATTATCCTTGTACTATGTTTTGTAAATGCAGGTGAATGATGTTAGCTTGCGCGAAATCCCTCACCAGAAAGCTGTGTCTACATTAAGAGTGGCAGCATCTCCAGTACGCCTCGTTATTTTACGAGAAGATCCGGAACAAATTTTCACTACCAAAGAGAGTGAGTAGCAAAATTGCATTCTAAATCCAAAACTGAAAACTGTATAAATTAAGGGGGCAATAACAGGGGTGCCAATTAGCCGGAAAAACCGGAAATTCCGGTTGGAAAACAAATGATATGTGTCAGTCCAATCGGAAAGTTCCGAAAACTCAGTCTTTGGATTGAAGTAATCCACTTTTCCCGCTCTTCTCGGCTCTTTCGATAGACGGGTGTACCATTTTTCGAAAGTTAAAGTTTCCCGCTCTTTTCTTACCATTAGTGAATAGATTTCCAACCGGATGGATTGGTTTAAATGGTAAGCACCCCAGGTTTTCAAAAGAAGACCTTACCTTCACTTGGACTAACGTAAACTCATTTCAGACAATGCGTCAATTCTCTTGAGTATATTTTCTTTTATATATTGGGTGTATTTCAGCTCCAAAGTCTTTAATCAAAGTACGTCTGCACAAATCCATCAGTGAAAATCTRGGACTCAGTATTCTTGCTCGGAAGTAAGTATCAAAGCCCTTTTGGGTCAAATGATGGGTTGAATGCTGGAACCATTTGTTAGGGCGTTTAGGCTGTCGTGAAGAAGGACATCCCATCTGTCCGTCTGTCCGTTTTCATCCAGTTAGTCATTTAAACGTTCGCCTTTTTTTTCTTCTGCGTCAAGGGATGGCAATGGCGTGTTTGTCACATACGTGGTAAGTACTTCGTTTGATTATAATTTTGTTCTTGAGAAAACCAAGCCCGCCTGTCCATACTCCTGCATTTACAAAACAAAACGTTTACTCAGTTTTATATGATAAATTTTTGATTATAGACGGAAGGAAGTGTGACTGACCTCGAAGGAACAATYCAACAGGGAGACCGAATCATGGAAGTCAATAAACAAGATTTGCGCAACGCGACGCAAGAACATGCTGCTCAAGTTCTAAAGGTAAATTTATTAATCTTACCACGCATGTCCAAAAACTTGGCGAGAAAATAATTGCGGACGCGTTAGCTTCTAATACACAACTGTGTACTAAAAAAATCGTGTCAATAGTACCAAGTCCTTGCTAATGAAGCTAATGTGATGGCTAGGATAAAGCTAATCTCAGGTATTTTGTTTGCAGCGTTGTTATGGTAATATTAAACTTACGATAGGCAGAGTTCCGTCCGTTATAGCAACGATTAAGGACAGCGCAAATAAAAGGCAACAATTTGGATATGTAAACCACGGGCTCAATTCCGATGATAAAGGTATTTAGTGTAAGACCTATGAACTATGCTTCTACAGTATAACTATAAACTTACTCTGTCATCGCTTTTCCTGGTCTTCATTCTTTTTCCCCCTCAAGAGGAGTCCTCTTCTTTCTTTGTCTCTTTTTCCTCTTTCTTCTCCTACTTCTTCCTCCTCGTCTTCTTCT